AAGGGTTTCCTTTTGACCTGTTTGGGCGCTAGCCTGGCTGCGGGAGTCCCTTGGGCCGGACTCCTCTTCGACGCGTTTCGGGTTGGAGGTGGGTTTGCGAAAAGCCGTGACAGGGTTGTTTGGGCACCTGTGTGGGGTTTGTTTTTGACCTGTTTGGGTGCTAGCCTGCGTGCGGTAAGCCCTTGGGTCGGGCTCCCGCCTGTCTAGGGTTTCTTTTTGATCATTTTGTCGTTTTCGACATGTTTCGGGTTGCAGGCGGGCTTGCGAAAGACTGTCACAAAGCTGTTTGGGATCTGTGCACAGCGTTTCTTTTAGGCTTGGTATCTCTCTCTCTCTCTCTCTCTCTCTCTCCCTCCTCTCTCTCAGCACATCTCTATACATCAACATGCATAGGTATATAAAAATCTGGTTGATACTCTGGTTGATATAGATTTTGATATAGATTACTATACATGCCAGGAACTTCCTCAGAGTGTCTTTTTGAAGCGGATGTGTTTTTGGTTGCGGATGTTTATGTAGGTCACATACCTAAATAAAGGTATGTCGAACAACCGATCCAAAAAAGCAACCACGAGGTTGCACGTACAGAGATTTGGAGATGGATGACCTAGACCAAGTGACGGGGTTCAGGGTTGTCGGAGAGCTGGCGCGGGCTCCAGAGCATGAGAAGGACAAGCGCAGTGTGAAAAAGCATGTCGGACACAAAGGCTTAGCGAAAAGGACAGCAAGACTGCCGTCTAAAGCTTGGGGCAAGTCAAGAAAATAGACAGATATGCAACATGATATAATGACCATGTGCTTTGAAGTTCTTATTGTGGCATGCAGGCAAAGGATTTTACAGGATCCGTTCGCAAGGACGCCAACATCCGTGTTGGGTCGCCGCGTCATGGTGGACCACTCAACTGGTTCAGCCTCTGTTGGCATCGTGGTGAGTCAACGGCTAGACAACTATGTGCAGGTTGCCAACAGTGCCTTGGTGACACAGAGCGGCGCTCGGTGACGGAATGTTTGCTACGTTCTAGGTTGCTGGAGCAGAAGGTAACGATGAAGGTAACGATGTCAACGGATGCGCCGGGCGTAAGGTGCATGCGAGTGGCAGGAGAAGCTCCTCTGGATCGCGCCGCAGAGGTACGTGTTCGCTGCTGGGCATATTGGGTGCAGACACGCAGCGTGCTTCCGTTGAAGTTCGCGGGTAGGTTATAAACTGATCGGTGCGTGGTAGTCGGTTAGACATTCGGGGCATGTGATCTGGGGGTGAGTTTCGCCGAGCAGCGGAAGAATCCAACGTTGGACTTCCGGTCGTAATGTCCAGATCCGCATCCAAATAAGATTAATAGTAGACTCCGTAAACATACCCTCCAAACCCACTGTCATTCGGGGTTTTGAGGACGCAGGGTTTTATGTCGGGAGGACAACCCGATGCTGGGTGGCTACGCGTGCGTAGATGCGTTTGCGGTACCCAGCTGAGGTTGACGCCGCGCAACCGGCGGCTGAGAGCGAGCGGTGCGTGAGGAGTGGGCAAGGGTCTGAGCAACGTGGTTGGCAGTGGTCAGCGGAAGAATGGAACGAATGGCTGCTTGGTCTTGGTCGTTGACGGCGGCAGGGGATCCGAAGATGTTTTGAAAGAGTAGAATCGCAAGTGGCAATTAGCCTGCTCATGGTATAACCGGGGCCGATGCCGATGGTTGGGAAGCTTTTGTTGGTTTCGCGCCGGTTTTTCTTTGCGCGACACCTGCTTGAGATTGGGATCCCGGCACGGAGCATTGAGGTACAGTCAGGAGCCTCGAGGCCGCAGCAGGAGTGCGCACAGATCAGTTTCTTGGCTACAGTGGGTAATTACTGCTGTCCGGGGGTCCGTGCAAATGTGTTGCGCGGAGAGACACCAGCGGGCACTGTAGCATGCTGCTGAGGGATGGCGTAAATTGGAAGTTCACGCAGTTCAAGATGCGCATGCGCTGCGGATCGTGCAGCAGCTCAAAACGTTTGGCGCCTGGGGCAACAGAAGGGTATAATTAATTGGGCAGGTGGAGCCTTCCGTCGTTGCTTTTGGATCCTTGGGGCCGCACAGCAATCCCGAAGGGTTATATTTAGGTGCAATAGACGAACGGGATAGCGGTTCAATTTGTTGACGATGGTCCATAGTATCAAAAGGACAAGGTTTCGCAATGGAATATAGAGCGGATATTCATTACCATTGTGGGAGTGGTACTATATACTTTGTTGCTTTGCCTTAGCCCAAGTTTGTGGTAAGTGAGCAAGTAAAGACAGTTGACAAGTCCGACGACGTGCGCGCATGGGAAAGGTCCTGTACGAGATTTCAACCGGATAGTTTGAATTTTGGTTTGTTTTGTTTTTGCGGTCGGCGTTGCAGCCCGCTGTTCCCAACGGAGGGTGCCACAATTCGCAGAGGGCGCAGTTCACTCCCAACCGCCTCTGACCGAGGAACCGTGGACACGTACCATGATGTTTGGAACAACAAGATCGTGGCACGCTTTGATCTGGCGACCCACGCTCGCCAAGCAATGGCGCAGTATAGTGCGATTGACGGTGAGTATTTGGCTTGGGTGTGACCTAAGGACTTGTTGTTAATTCATAATTGGTGGCAACGGATTAATTCAAATGGAGCTGAACAGGGTTGTCGGGCAGCCAAGGCCGAGGGACCCGTGGGTAGTGGTGGCTGGGTACACACTCTGTAAATTTTTTCAATCCACTGTGTAACCATGGCTTTCTGGTATGCTGCGACTACTTGCATACTGTGCTGAGGTACGGTGCTGAGCGCGCTTTTCAAGCCACTTGTGTAACCATGGGTTTCTGGTATGCTGCGACAACGCACAAAGGGTGCTGGGAGACTGTGCTGAGCGGCGCAGTTGGCGTGGTGAAAAGCAGGGAGCTGCGGGCTTTCCATGGGAACTGGAACCTTGAGTTGCGCGCGCGTATTTCATGCAGCCCAGGTCCGGGAGATTTTGCAATTATGTTCCATGTTGGCGTGAGGCAGCTTTGCCTAAGGGCCAAGCTTGGTGAGTTGACACGCGCAACATGTATGCCAAGACAGCACTGTTGCAAAGTTCGACTCCTCAATGAAGCCGTGCCGTCGCCGGGTCCGTTCCCTTAAGTCGATCGTCCCCTTCACCGGGTATTGTCATGCTTTGGGTTCTTCCCCC